TTAACCCTTTGCACTCGAGCGGTGACTCTCGCTCACCAAGACGTTATCTCACCTTAAATTTTATTGTGGCGCTTTTAGCGAGACAGGCGACGCGTGTATAAGACCCTATAAGTGTAAAATGATACTCCTTTAAATGGAGATAAGTTTTTCGTATCGGAACCTTAGTCTGTAACGACAACCGTGCATCACTTTCGACATTAGTTCGAACTTGACAGTCGCGCCGAAAGATTATAATAATAGAAAGTGAATAATAGAAAAAAGAATACTGTTCTAACGGGAGTTAAGAAGGATTGCAAAGTCTGCTCGCGACGAAATATACCCGGAGAAAGACACCAGACAACATATTATCGTAATACTTGTCCCGACAAACCGGGCACGCATTTTGGAAATTGTTACAGTAAATATCAAACAAAGGAAAAATGCTATGATTAATGTTTACGAAATTATGTTTCTAAAGGTACAAAAATACGCAAAATATTAAAATATAAAAATTTTATGTAGTAATTTGGATGTATAATCATTTTAAGTTAGAGCTAAGGAATTCAGCAAAAATGCTCCGAAATGTCTCGAGTGCAAAGGGTTAATTTCAAGCTTGCTTATACTACTTCTATACAGATGTGTTACCATCTTCAACTAAACAGCATGCAGTACTAGTAACACCACTTGCCGGAAAACAGTGAGAATTTATTCAACATCCCAATATTTCAAGTTTTATTATACAAAATCAACCAACATTAGCATACCAATTAATAATGTTACATATAATGAATCTGCAATAGGTTTGTTACAAATCTTATAGATAAACCAAATTACTTCATTTCCAATTTGATTCATGGTGCAGTACTATAAAAGTATGATAGATAATATTTTCCACCAGAAGATCAAAACTCCAGAAACGAAACGTTCAATACTAGCCTAATAAATCGTGACTGAGACATCCAGCGAAATTTGCGATTGGCGTTCCCCTTTTTTGCGTAATATATGCAAAGCTTATTCGCACCGATGTCTCGTAACCGAGCACTATTAATATCCCCGGCACGCGAGAACAGAACGAAACTAAAAGAAAAAAGAAAACAACAGAAGAAGAAGTGACAAAAAGGAACAAGAAGGGAACACGCTCGACAGATTTGCACCGCGTGTATTTCTCTTTAACAGTACACGTTACTGTACCGTGACCCGCCGTTTTCCATCTGGCGTTACCCCGCGGCAGACTGCACGCGTTTACAATTTCTTACTGCGAGAAACGGTCACACTTTTTCTACGGGTAACGCAACGAAGCCAGAAAAGATTTGCACTTTAACTTAACCCTCGTTCATTTACGACTTAATAATTTTTGTAAATATCTAATAAGATTATTACATAAAAAGGACAGTAAAATCTACTGTGTGGTTTGTCAATCCTACTGCGAACAGAAATGAACTGAGAAAAAATAGTGCTTTAATATCCGACCCATTAATGCCCACCGTGCCCAAACAAGTACATTTCATATTTTAAGTATTTTTTTATTTGTTAATATAAATCTCAGATATTCCTCTTCATACTATGGTATGGTATTACTACATGCCATTGTTATACTTTATACTGTTTAGAAAATGTCCCTTATTTAACAGTCACTTTCGTTAACATCTTTGTTTGTTAGCATATTCATATAAAGACAATCTTCAGCGTACTTTTCTGTAACCCCCTTAAGCGCGTTTCCCATTGGCACGTTAAGTTTCAGCTTTTACACGCTCTTTCCCTTTGACTATACATACATGGACTGCCAGTAGCATAGGCTTGCAATGCTAACGTGCCGTCGCCAACATTAGGTAGCCAAGCTCCGCCTTCGGGACCATCACGTGACCAAACAGCGGCAATTCCAAAACACTAAATTGAAATAGTGTACAGTATACATGCCCTTAGAAATCTCAAATCGTATTATTTTTCAAACCGTGGGTCTACTGCATTTGTAAATTAAGTCTTGTTTTATGTTTTCAAAACGAAAGGTATTTGAGAATGTAAAATAATGAAATAGGATTTTACCAAGAAATGTGAAATATCATGTATTAATTAGTGTAATAATAAATTTTATTGTCCTCTAAAAAGTACAGTTTTTGTTAAGGATTTCCTAATAAATGTTTTGTGATTATTTAATGTTTGACTAGTACCTTCGTACCGTAACTTAACATCTAAATAATAGGATATAATTAATTTAATTATTTCATATTTATGGTTGTCTAGTATATCTTGTTCCAATGAATGCGCGTCAAAATTTTTAAATAGCGTGCACATATTTAAATTCTTTATGGTTGCTACAATCATTTTATGTTTAAAATTGGTAATTCTTAGCTTGTTTTCTACTTTAAATATATTAAATATTTTTTCCGTAGTAGTGCACGTTGTGAGCGTATCTTCTCGTAGATACTTTAATGATCCACAAGATTTATATGCAATAAAATTTGAATATGCAGCCATACATCCATCTATTAATGTTATGCACGTTAAACATTTTAATTGTTTCAATAATTTACGTTCTACAAACCCTGCCGTGTACATCACACCTTCGTATATACTATTTAATGGTAGAGACTCTTCAATATTTGTCTTCGTCGGACTCTTCAACGAGATTTGCTCTACCATACGTATGAACCGCGATTTCAAATAGCCGCTGTTTGGTCACGTGATGGTCCCGAAGGCGGAGTTTGGCTACTGTTGGCTACCTGATGTTGGCAACGGCTCTCCCAGCGGACTAGCAGTTAGCAGTCCATGTATATATAGTTAAAGCTCTTTCCTATACCTCGCAACCAGCGTGGAGATATTTTTTCCCTCGAGGCTCGCTTCCCCTGTTTTTCGCCCGTATTTCGATCCCCACTACTATTCCCCTCATGCGTGCTCATGCGCGTTCGCGAAGCTCTCCGCAGCGCTATGGTCCCCACCATGTTCGCGTCGTCCCCACTTTTCGGCCGAGGGAAAAATTATCCGCACGCTGGCTTCCTCCATGTAGTATATGCTCTAAGGTAACCCCAGTTTACCAAGACTTTCTTGTGCTAACTTCATACAGAGATGAATTTATAAACAAAGGAGAATAATCATGAAGGCAACGAACGCAAAAAAAGAGGACAGTTCCCTGTAACGGCAGCGTACAGATTCTAAGCAGTTCTCCGGTTTTTAACTTTCTAACTATCTCTACCGTTGTAACGTAACACGATTCACACGGGACCAGAGGTGAATCGGTATTGAAGGCGGGACAGAGGTTCGAACAGAGAGAAAGAAAGTATGACGTGACCCAGAAAAATGTCTGTCCCAAAGTGACGCGCAAAAGTTCGGAGATTAATCAAGCTAACCGTGTGCAGGGAAAACGGAACGAGGCAGCTAATGCATCTTTCATATAGATTTGTCATTACTGTATACTCTACATGCTTTATAGATTTAATGTACATACAATTAGCTTACATTACGTTATATAGAGGGTGATTTTTGTAACACGACGATATAAAATAACTCCGAAATTATTCATCGAATACTTGAATAAAAAAGAATTATCATTTTATGTATTGTAAATTTTATATGAAATTAGATTGCTTTACATTAATTAGAAATATAATTTTTTGTTTATTACATGTACGGATAATCCTTCATTTCCTAAGTTATGGGAGATAGACAAAAGTTTTTATACGGAACTTCCAAGATTCAAGGGGGCACATATTTTGATGGAAACAAATTTTTTTACCCTATTATTTAATGGGATACGATACTCAAGATCGTTTCTTCACATGGCACTATATATCTATGTTTTGTTTTGCAGAACTTTTCCAAACAATTCCATTTACCCTTCATATATAAGACTGATGTTAATTAGGTTTTGAAATATTCATCTCAAAAATTGGTTCATTTTTGTAGAGTGGGAATGGTAAGGAGGTTCTATTACGAGGACATCCTGTACATTTATACAGCTGAGTTTTTTATATGCATGATATAATTCGCACCTGTATTGATCATAAATTAGTAATAAAGATATGATTACACGATAAATCAAAAGAAACATTTAACACATGTATGTTTAATCGACTAGATAATAATTAACGTTAGAAACTTCGATCGTTTATAAAAACGCAATGTTGTGGAATTTATAAGCATTAATTATATATCGTTAGAATTATGCAAGGTTAATATCGCGTCTAGCTGCAAGATCCACGCAAATGTTCCGCGAAGTCGTTAAGAAATAAAGTCCCGACAGCAGTCTATCCAGTGAATTTCCACGAAGAGCACTCTTAAAATACAATTGCCGCGAAACAAGAAACGCCTTTGTAAAGCACGCGTCGGCAGTCTGCTCTTCGTTCTGGAATGCTGTTAACACATCTCCAAATAATAACAACCGGTGTAAAGAGATATGTAACTTTATGCATAATTTTCTTCACGGTTCAACGAAAGAAATAGAATGATAATTGTTTTTCATTTAAGCTGTTTACGAATTGCAACTTAGTAGTTGTTATGAAAAACTACATATTCTTATTCTAGACTTTAAAGAATGTCTATAAATCTTTCTCTATTCAGGTTGCTGACTAAATTGAAAATACTCATTTTTATGTACAATTTTACAAATCAGGAGTTCAAGCAATAATATTAGGATTCCTCTGTGTGATTACTGTCGATTACGTTGAGAAAAGATATCCAAAAATACAAATTTCGCACTTTCTAATCATCCAAACAAAAGCGTATGAAGCCGAACTCTAAAAAAATATTTAATGTGAAAAGTACATAATGTTTTGTAGCCAAATCTGCATATGCATAAATGATTACGTAAATCATAGGTACGCCGAAATATTATTCATATAACATTAATTATCATTTTCTTAAACAAATACATAAACTCTACTAATGGCGATAGAGTGGTAATACTAACAAAATTCTAAGTAATCGTACATAACAAGCTCACGCAAGACCGAGCGTAACCGCAACAGTCTGGAAAAGCGATTCTGTCCTTCGCTAGATATATCCACGAACGCTATAAGTAAATCGCATTTGGGTCAGGCTTTGGTTTCGCACTTTAAACTCCATTCGCGGCAGCTCGTTTCGAGTTAAACCACGCGGATAGATCGCACCGAAACGCGTCATTAACGGTAGAACTGGCGACGATTAGAGCATACTTATAGGTAGTAACGAAATCGAAACGAGAAACATCCACCCCCATTTACGAGTCTTAAGCCACGTTGTGAAACATATAACTAAATGAGGATAAGATAAAAGTATTGATAAACAAAATGGAATTAATGTTGATATATTTGTTTAAAAATAATTTATAATATGTTATTTGATATTCAAGAAAAGATGTTTCATATCAACTGAAATTGTTAGATTGGGTTTATATTTTTTATCAGAAATTCAATTTTATTATTTTTCATCATTTATTACACGATTGTAATTAAATGATGTTTTTTATTATTTTTTTTATTTTATTTTTTTAATTATTTAATTATTTAAGATTATTAATTAAGATAATTAATTAGGATAATATTAATTAAGATAATAAGAAGATAATTAATTAAGAAAAAATTATTTAAAAATTGATTATAATGTTTTAACTGATGTAGTCTATGATGATCAAGAAAGTGGGACATTTCATAGGCTTTTGATTGACAATAAGCACTTGGACATGTGCTTTTGATTGATAGAATATACATAGATAAAAGATAATGATCTTATACATTGTTCCCGAATTCTCATGAGATTCATACAATCGCTATTCTTCGAGATAAGAATCTCTATTTATGGAAGAGCATAGAGCAAGAGAGTAGGAATTGCTGAGGTTTCTTTCACGATGATTCATGCTGTAGCTGCAACCAGCACCCTTGAAAACGTCACTAATGAGAGGCGCAATATTAAAATATGCGAAGGAGCTCGACGATAACGAGCTCTTGATTTTATGCAATGAAATCGAGTTATAAAGTTTAATTGCTCCGATACGATCTACGATACTGGCCGATGAATCTTGGCTTAGACAACGATTCATTGTACCGGCGTTATTTACGATCATACTCTTATTCGATTTCTTACTGTACTCACCTAACCCAACCTAAACATAACTTACAAGTTCTCGCACGTTATTCAGTATTTATTTCGCTGTACTGTAATGCACTGATTATTAGGCTGCTGGTTTAATTTATGCGTTTACTTTAACTCTTTAACATCGCGACCGTCTTTTAAAAAAAAATTTTATTATATCATACTGACTATCGTTACAAGCCTAATTTTTTTACATTAGCAACAGAACACGAGAGCTGAACCTTGTAGAATAACTTTGCTGATCTGCAATTCTTAAATCGTATGGAACCTTGACAAATAGTGCTATCACGTTTCAGTTAACACGAAAGAGTGTAGCAGCAATTATATTGTAACACATGTAATTTTTATTAATATTTACAATTGGTTATTTGTAATTCGATAAAATGATTTATAAAAGAAAATCACCAATTTTCAATACATTTTTTTGTGTGATTGAATACTATAAAATATGAAGCTTAAAGCAAAAGTTTCTGGTGTTTTAATATTTTTGAAACCGACAGTATACATATATTATGTAGTTTACGATTTGATACGATTTATAAAGAAATAAAAATAAATCAGAGAGAATGAAAATAAAAAAATTTCAGATCTTACCTATGCTTCAGATTGATTGTCCATCCTCCAGATATGTTCCCCTCTAAAACAGCAACAGAACCGAAATTCTCGTTAAACTACATCGATAATAAAGCGGAAAGGAAAAATGAGCCATCGTAAATGGAAAGCTCGTTACATTTAACGAATTCTTTATAACAATTTTACTTAAAGCTTGCAAAATTCCTGGTCACTCGATGTCGAAAAAATGACCAGTAACGCGTTTTAAGCAGCGAAGAGAAGTGGGATAATGAACGCGTCGTAACAAATTAAATGACACTAACTATAGACGAAGACCCAGGGTTTCACCGAGACGCTCAATTGCTAATTAAAATACCGAACAAAACGAAAATAGCCGTAGCCATTCGTAGATAGACACGTAGATAATTTTCAAATAAATATTGCTAACGCATGAATCATAATGCATAAAAACAGTAAATACATTGACTGTTTTATAATCCATAAGCATTGGAACTCGTTTTAATTCTATACATAGTTCTAAAAAATCGAGTGAGAAAAACAAATACTTTTTAAAGTATAATTTTCTATCTTATAAATATTTCATCCAAATGAATAATAACATCAATTTTTTTTCATTCACACTCATTACATTGGTCTTTTTTATGGTCAATACACTACGCGAAACTCACTTCAGTTTAGATAACTAGAAGATAGCACATCATGTGGAGTAGATATTTTTTAAATACAATTAATATCATATGAATGTTTGAAACAATGTTTTGCCACATTCTGAAAAATAATTATACGCAATAATATTAAAGAGCAAATTCTCATAGAACAATGAGTTAATTTGCTTGTAAATTTTATAGAAGTGAAACACGCTTTTCATTCGTGGTCTAGAGGAAAGAATTGAATTACACGGAATAGCGAACAATTACAGGATACGTAATAACATTTAATAATATACCGATAACATCTCTACGCGCGCGCAGTGCGTTTCGGCACTGAATTAAATTCCTATTTATTTTCCGTACGCGCTCCATGATAACAATTTCGTAGTCATTTCACGAGCCAATAAACGAATCAAACAAACTGCAAATGTACATTTAATGTAAATTTTATACAGAGAAATCAAATTCTCTTCATAATGTTCGGAATGTCCTAAAGCGAACATGTGACCGACAATGTCCTTCACCACAAAAAAGATTGCTTCATATTAAAGAAAATTCCAAGATGAAACGTAGTCAAATGTAAAATAAGGATATTTAGTACATGTTAACCCTTTTGGGGGATCACGTAATGACAAAGTCGAAAGCGATACTTAATAAGGTCAGCCAATGTTAATAAGATGTCTGAAAAGAGATCTGGATTCTTACAAAATAAAACATTAAGAAAAGGGAAAGAAGTATTTAAAATATTGTATTTTATCACCAAATGTAATACCGCTTTTAAGATCTAAATGCACTAAATGTTTTTCATATATTATAATCGACTACGTATTATACAGCTAATCGTAAAAAGAAGCATACGCTCTTTAAAATCGAATAACTTCCTTAAAATTAGTCTACTTAACAAGTGTACATATAATTTTGGGATTAGACGTACATTTTTATGTATCATTATCAATACCTACAACTCTTTACATAAAACTACAGTCGAATGTAATCTTACGCACTTGCGGTTGATGCGACTTGAAATTGAATCAAGAAAAAGGAGACGATCGTGTATCGCACTTGTCACAATAAGAAACAGTAGTATCCACACAGCAGCAATAAAGGTTGATCAAATGCATGTCACAAATACCTTGCAGCATTCAGTGCAAGGCTCCTCCGTTACAAGCTTAATTTTTTTTGTAAGACTTAATCAAGTAAGAAACACGCGTGAGAGAATTGTCGACCCATCCGTACATCTTTCTTCCTTAAACCATTTGCATTATTAACGTATATATACGCTCATCGATTATTGCATGATGCATATCAAATGTGTTTTCCTCTTTTGGTGATACGTTTTAAAAAACTGGCTACGGGATTAGTTACTATGTCATTTATTTTCTTCTTTATTATTTGACTGCATTTTACGTATTTCTAATAAAGCTTATTATTTGACTGGATTTTACGTATTTCTAATAAAGCTGAAAGTGTTTAAAATATGAAATATGGAAAATGTCAAAAGTTGAAATGATAAATGAAATTGTTTACAAGTTCGATACCGAGTTTCATTTATTTTCGCAAAAGTATAGTACTACTATTTGCAGCACCGATCCACAGATACGTACTTACTTACATGCGTAATATACAAAGAGGAAGAACAGCCCATTTACCGCGTACAATTAAGCATTGTGACTGAATTATTCGACAAGGATACCGTGTACCGTTCGTTAACCGTATAATTAGCCAATTACTAATTGCGCGAGTTCGCATGAGCTCGTTTCGTTCGGCTCGCAAAAGTTTTACGCGTTTATGTCAACTTTACAGTTTTTACATTGTCTTCGCTTTTTCAGCGCTCAATATGAGATCACAAAGGTCGAATTCAAGGACGAAATCCGTGGCGGTAAAGTTGGACTGCAAAAGACACGTGCGCTCATAGTTGCTAACTTACACAGATAATATCTGCTGATTGTTTTTTATTATTCGAGAAGCGTCGACTACTGATATTATCATTAGCAACCGAATAAATTAACAACAATATATTGAGCACATAGCTAAAAATTATTAAGTACAATTTTGTATGTACACCTGCTGATTCTTCCTCGGGAATTGACGTCTGATTCACGCGACAAATGGCATTCTTTTCGGTGCCCGTTTTTACACGTGGTGATCGATTTGCTTCCGCTTCGCCGGAAAGTATTTTGACACGATGCATTCGCATTCGTTCAGTTTTCTATTATTTTAACAGTAGTGAGAGATACAATGTATCTAGGTTTTGTTGTAACCTGATTCAAATTCCTCTATTAAATGTGCGTGTTTGCGTTGATGCCGAAGATACTCAAGTCTGTTCTAATCAAGAATCTTTCTCAGTTAATGTGCTTAGGCACTGTGTAAGATAAACATTATTCACATGTTGTAAAACATTTATACATCATATTATAATATAATTCGACACATTTAATCTGTGAATCTATGTAGATTCTTCATAATTTCATAACATTTCTTATATAACTATAATTGCAATGTGATATACACTATACTAAAAGTCCTTTCGTGATAATTAATGACGAGCGCAAACATACACATCACATTATATGTTATCAGGAGATAATAACACACATGCACAACATTATAAAGTGCAATTAATCTTGTTTTATTTTCACCGTGAAACGATTCGGTAAGATGTCAAGTAAAATTATGCGACAGCTCATGGACAGTGTAACCTCGAAAAATGCACGGTGCATCGAAGAGACAGGTAGAGCATGCATGTGCTATTTTTTGCGATTAAGTGCATGCCCAAAAGTAAGAGGGAATATTGTCATTGAGTCGATAGCTACGCGATGGCTAGAGAATGCAGTGAAACGCGTTGTTTCTTTCTCGAGCGAGATGTTGAGAATGCAAGAGCGTATGTCATTTAAAGAACGCCCACTTTTAACTCGAGGAGAGAGTAATTGTAGCCGAAGTCGACATTAATCGCTCGCCAAATTTGGAACGTTGTTACGTCAACGGAATGATCGAACCATTAAATTTTTGTCGCCTAACCTTAAACCCTATATAAGAATGTACTAGAATCATGAAATTGGGAAAATTCAAATAGGCAACAGTGAGAGAGCTGGTTATCTCGCAGGCGAAATTTCTGGTACTCACCTTATCGAATATTAGAATTTTTCTAACAGGCCTGCGGACAAACACAGGTGGCACGATAACACTGTGTCACATGAACGAATATCCATAGAAATCACACAAAACAACGATGCGATCACCTCACGAAACGTCACATTCACTTCGGTCGAGCGGCCATTTTGCTACACACGATCCAAGTCCAAGAGTGAAGAACATTTTGATCTACCAACCCACTTAGGCCTGAAGTCACTCCCTTCCAATAGTTCCAATTCCACTGCTGCCTGATCTAAAGCTTGTCAAACATTCCTAGCAGAGTGTCAATTACAAATTATCAATAATGAAGTACAGTTATTATTGCAATTTATTAATTATAATTCATGAACATACAGTATGTGGTCGCATTTTACAACTACAAGAGAAAGAATGATTTACTATACTCCCTTTTACTGTACATCCCTATAATCATCAACATTAAAAACATGAATCACGATTTTAATTTTCAACCGGTTTTAGGGACATGAAGTAGTCTTCACAATATATTTGAAATTTAGATTATTTGATAATTATTTCGTTAATTAATTAATCAATACTACTTCAAATAAATAATTCAATTTGGAGGTTAAACGATGAATTGATGCATGATCGTCATAATTATTACAAATATCATGTGCATGGAAAACGTTTAAAATTACAAACTTCTAAATTAAGATTCTCGCAACGACAAACGTATTCTGTCTATTAAAGATAATAGTTTCGTCTAGTACTATATATAAATGTCGACTTTCGTGGAATTGTAAAAATAGTTTATCTGTCAACGCGTTGACAGGTAGACGTTGATAATTGTTGACAGTAATCGAACTTGGTCGTTGCATTTCACGCATTCTCATCATTGATTGGCGTACAAAATCAATACTTATGTGGCAGTTATAATTCAAAATATGCTTAAAAATTGAATGTTCATAATTTCTATGATCGCGAGAGTGTGTGACCTCGGCCTAAAATCGAATCTCGAAGCACGTGTCCGATACACGTCACTTGTTGGTGCGTTAGGGACTATTTCATAACCTGTTGTTCAGAGAAACGCAATCGCAATAGTATCGGGTGGAAAGAATGTCGTGAAAGTTCTCGTACGAAATTACAATTGGAGTGTCATTTGCCGCGATTCGTTTGTAGCGTTTGGTGTGGGTGAATCGTTCCTATGATATTTTCACACTGGAATGGCGTTAGTAAATCAACTTCAAAGGTTCTCGAGACCAATTCTCAAGATCGCTTCGAATTATTCCAAATATCCTAGCAACACTACGTTGCCTTTTTTGCAGGCAGCGAGGAGTACGTCGACCACGAAACCTCTTTCAGAAAAAGAAGAGTGAGTAACGAAATTTACGTTTCCTACTTTTCTAACTTAGTTTCATTGTTTCGCTATACTTAGAGCGAGATCGTTGATTAGACAATACAAAGGTGCAAGAAGACGGTTTATACAATTACAATTTCCTGTGATAAGTAGACAAGCAAACCATGAAATCTGTTTCGGAAAAATAGGGAGTAATGAAATGTTATCTGTTTACATTTCCTGAAATTGCTTTCAGTGCTTAGTTAAATATATGGTTTAAATTTTTTATGCTTTACAGATAAGCAATATATACCAATTTNTAATATTTAAATAAACTTTAAGAATGTAAGTCCGAACTGATAACAGCATCTAAAAAAATTAAGTTATCAATTTACTAAGTCCTGCGCAAAAATTAAATAACAAACGTTTATTAATTCTTATTTATATGCTAAATGCGATTTGATCAAAGTACTATACAAAGTTTATCATAATTTCTAACAAAATTAACAGAGGTTTGTGAAAGACTTATTTGTTATATGTATAATGGAGAGATTTCTGGTTTCTGAACTTCAAACTTTGTGAATGCGCACGCGGTTATGCAAAAGTCTAAGAACCTTATTCTTTCGCAAAGACGAAAGTAATCTAGGACTAGAGGTTTCGTAACATTAACAATAATGACGATAATAATAAGGCAAGGATATCGGTATCAATTATAACGTAATCGAATAATACTAACTGTATGTAATAGTTAATAGTATGATAATGGCAAGATACACGCGGATAGAAAATAGTCATTCCTTTCTCGACAGTATATTCAACATTTTTTCGATCGCTCAGTCGTTAGAATTAATTTGTTAATCAACATACGTCAACGAGCAACTTCAACTTTTCTTAGAACATTTGTTTCGATTTTTTACTTTTCCACGGTAAATAATGTATTAAGCTCATTCGAGATCATGTTGATTGAATTTTTACAACGAAGTATTATCCATTAACTCAAACTAGATCGACCAATTTAAAAAAAGTTATTCCATAGTTGGCAGTGGATGCATAAAATATTTTAATCAGCCGTTTTTAGGTCTTTTACTACTATCGATCCCCCTTTAAATATTTTGTTTATCTTTAATTATTTTATCACCGGCA